AAAAACCTAAATTTTAGTTCTATTGTAATATTTGTTTTATATTAAGTTCATTAATGTTTTATAGGGTTGATTTAATCGCCTATTGACAATTAATATAACTAAAAGTATTAAAGCTATATATATATACATATGTAGTATTTTTGTAGAGATAAGCATACACATATGATTAATTAATATTTCGGTGGACACAGCAGATAGCCTGATGTGGCTTTGCTATAAGGAAAACACACACTCTTTATATATATATATATATACAATAATTATAAATATTTTTTTAGAAAGAAACATTTTTGGGAATGCAATATTTACATCTTGACAAAAACAGCTCTAATTCAGCTTACACTAATTTTGATCGTTGATTTTCTAAAATTGTTACTTAGTACGTCAGAGATATAATTTTTATCTTCAGCTTATATTAGATTATAGATAGTCGTATAAAAACGTAAATTCGCTCAACAAATATTTAAAAAATGTAACTACAATTTTATTTTTGCTGCGAAACACATATGTTGGATCATAGATTCAGACTGAAAGTAGATGACTCATAGATAGGTAAGTCAAAATCTCTGGTAGCTCATGCCTTACTTGCATGTTTGAAGAGACCATATGATAAACAGGTAGGCGTTGTGTGACTAGAGAGAATATAGTATAGAAGCCACGAACGTAGATATTCCATTATCAAAATGCAGATGGCGTGGTAAGGATATATGTAGATTACTTGACTCGCAATTCGAGGGTCGCACGTTCGAATCCCCGTCCCCTTTCAGCCGTAGGGGCGTTATAATGTAACGGTCAGTCCCACTATTCGTTGGTAAAATAGTAACCGAAGAGTTGGCCGTGGGTGATGTTGACTAGCTGCCTTCTCTCTAATCTATCACTTCAAGCTAGGAGCGGCTAGCGCAGATGGCCTTCGTGTAGCTTTGCGCGAAACTCAACAAAAAACAAACAAATAAATAGAATTTACATTTTAAATTTATCGCACATTCTTTAAAGAATGAATGTTTTTGTATGCGTTTTCATCTATCATAATAAAATTTTACCTGACCTGATCAAATATACGAAACCTCTCAGATTAAGTAGCTTATTTCAAACATTCACTATTTTTGTTGAATGAAAAGAACAACCCATACACTATGTAACATATAT